AATGCCAGATGTCTGAAGACTAAGACATCAACAAAAGGTTTCTGATGAAGTTTAGGCCACAGTGCACCTCTGTGGGGAAAGGAGAGAATCTTCAGCCACCAAAATTATCACTTGATGTAATCATTATACCTCCAGTCAGAAAATATAAACGCATACTTAAAATAATACACTTCCCTCCAAAAACTTCAGGTCAGGCATTTACTGCATATCTACGCATATTTAGATACGTTCTAAAAATATATTTTAATTATTTAGGGTGGGAGGGTGAGGGAGGGAAGGAGTGAACAAAGAGCTGTAACCAACGACTCAAGTAGAAAGAAAACGTTTTGAAAATGATGGCAACATATGTACAAATGTGCTTGATACAATTGTTATAAGAGCTGCTAGAGCTCACGATAAAATGATTTTAAATAAATAATAAATAGTATACTTCCCTCCAAAACCTTCAGATCAGACATTTATTGCATATCACATATACTCAGAGACATTTTAAAAGTTTAAAAATTATTTAGGGTGGGGGAGAGAGGGAGGGAAAAAAGAGGAGCTGTTACCAAGAGCTCAAGTAGAAAGAAAATGCTTTGAAAATGATAATGGTAATATATGTATAAATTTGCTTGATGCATGGATTGTTATAAGAGCTGTAAGAGCCCCCAATAAAATAAGGGGGAAAAGAATATAATAAAGCTGATACCAAGGGCTCAAATAGAAAGCAGATGTTTCGAGAATGACGACGGCAACATATGTACGAATGTGCTGGACACAATAGATGTATGTGTGGATTGTGATAAGAGTTGTATGAGCCCCTAATAAAATGATTTAAAAAAATAGAATACATGAAGGATGGCAAGAGGAGGCATGTCTGACCTCTGCCTTGTTGCAAAAAAAAATTATTTAATAGCTGAAGAAACATTTAGTTGACCAAAACATTCAGCAATTTAACTTTATTTAGAACTACTGATAATTGGAGCATAACAACAATTTTTAATTGGGATATGTAGATATTTTTTCTTCTTTATGCTCTGAGGCATTTTATTTATTTTTTATTATTAAAAGATCATCTTATTGGGGGTTCTTACAAATCTTATTACAATCCATACATCAATTGTATCAGGCATATTTGTACATGTGTTGCCATCATTCTTTTCTAGACATTTACTTTCTATTGAGCCCTTGGTATCAGCTCCTCTTTTTTCCCTCCCTCCCCCCAACCTCGTGACCCCTTGATAGATTATAAATTATTATTATTTTCACATCTCATACTGACCACTGCCTACCTTCCCCCATGGTTTCTGTTGTTCTTCCCCCTGAGGGGTGTGTGTGGAGGGATATGTAGATTTTTTAAAAGAAAAAAGTTCTTCAGCCAAATTGATGATACTCAACAAATGTATGTATTTCAAAACAAGACTAAAGCATTTACATGAGGTGAGAATCTTCAGCTTGAAAGCTTGACACAGAGCCTTCCTTTAAGGTTGCCTATGAGACAGAAATGAGCTGACTGCGCTAATGATTTCGCCTAAAAACGTTAATTCTCTACTGCATCTACCAATACATGCAAGTTTATTTCATTAATCAAGGCTAGCATAAAAACATACACTTGAAGACTCTTCAAAATGACTGTGAATAAATCCATATTTTGCATACGTTGCAAAATTTGAAAGGGTTTGCATTGTGAAACTTCTAAGACTAGAACTACCAATTATTACTTTGGGGGAATCCTACTTTGCCTTTTTGCTACCATTGGAAAAAGACTATTTTAAGAGTTCTATAGTTTATTGATGGGAGTAGCAATACAATGAAGGTAGGGTGAACGTGAGGGGGAAAGTGGGAGAAAGGGGGAACCAATCAAACAACAGAAATGTGGGTGAAAGAAGACAGCAAACAGTTTAAGATATGAAAATAATACTTTACAATTTATCAAGGGTTCACGAGGGGTGGAGGGGAAAAAAGAGGAGTTGATACCAAGGGCTCAGGTAGAAAGACAATGATTTGAAATGATGATGACAACCTATGTACAAAGGCGAAAGAGCCCCCAATAAAATGTTTTTTTTAATAAAAAGAGCAACCAGCACCTCTGGAGAAACAGGCATGTGATGGGACTATGCAGTTGGGCAAAATACAGTTTTAATTCTCTTAAGTACTTATCAAAACTTACTTTTTAAAGCCAAGACCTTTCCATGGGCACAGTTAGGAATTTGTGCTCTGTGAATTTCTAAATGCCATCTCTTGTGTGGCTTTTAACATTATGCTGTTGGAATTAACTACAACCCCCAGAATACAGACATATGATGGTGACAGACAAGAAATGGAACTCTATCACCGGCTACATTATAGCTTTTCAAAAGGTAATTTTCATTCATACTGCAAATGTATCTTCTTAAAAAGGAAAGATCCACTGTGGATACTTTAAATATTGTACATACTTAAAAGTGGAAACTATAAATGGACTCATTCACAATTTGATGACATATGATCTCCATTTTTAACATTTCCATTTGGTGCTTTACTCTTCAAAAACGCTGTTTTCAGCCAAAGGAAAGGATTTGGGGTGTAATATATTTATACCATCATTTGTTCTAATGAAATGAAACTGCTAACATCTATCTTTAGCAAGATGACAAAAACTCCTAAATTAGGCTACATGCAACCAACGTTTCATAGAGGGAAACTTCATGAAAACCACGGACTAGATGGTGAAAAGTCTGACGGTACTATTCCATTATTTTACACAAGTAACAAGTTGAAACTCTAACAGAATGCAATCATAAAACTGACTAGATTTGGATTTGCTATCATTTGGATCCATAAACCATACAAGAAAAGTCATAATAACAGTTTTTAATAAGCTCTTAAAACTCAGAAACTAATGGCATGGACCATGGATCATGTAAATATACATAAAGTGAGTTCAAAATTCCATTCTGGAGGTATTTCAACCTCCAAATATCAATCTGTTCTTTCCCCAACCACTGCCAGCAAGACAAACAGTAAGTTCTGAGTTTCCAACTCCTAGTGCTTAATTACCACTCAAGTAGAAGGTGGGAGCAAGAACAGTAAAACTGTCCAAGCCATTAGTAGTAAGGAGAAAACTGAACCATCTCCAAAGATGACAGCCCCTAAAAAGCTGAGATGGCTTTAAGAGTTAAAAAAAAAAAATTAATTCACCTTTTGGGTTATCCTAATGTAATATAAATGATGGTGGTTTCGTTTGTAACATCCATCCTGTCTTCCCTGCACACGGGATTTAACAGCTAATTACTGGCTACTTGTCCTAAGAATTTAGAAAAATGTTCCTGACAATTAAAAATGAATTTTTGTCAGAGATAGCTCTAACCTGAATAAGCCAATAAGCACTCAGCATTCGCCAGAGGGGCAGAGCAGGAGGGGCGGGGCCCAATCAAAAGAAATATGAGACATAGTCCCTACTCTTCAAGGGCCTCTCAATTCATTAGAGAACAGAAGTAAATACACATGAGTCAAAGACCAATTGTTAATTGCGAACCTGAGTGCTACAGCCTTTAAGTGCAAGAGCTGTCCTGATAAGTTTAACCAACTATAGGTTGGAATAATAATATTACTATTAATAGCTATCACTAGAGCACTTACTATATGCCAAGTGCTTTACAAGGATTATCATTTAGTCTTCACAATACTCTTCAGAATAGAGTACTATTATTCCCAATTTACTCAAGGTCACTCAACCAGTTAAGTGGCTCCCTACTGCAATCCAAGCCTAGGGCGCCCGCTGCAAGACTTAGTGATGCCCAGGGTGGGGAGGCGGGGCTGAGGGCCTGTAGGCTGGATGTATCTCAAGCGCAAGATCCAGATTTCACATCATTTCATTCCAGGCAACAAAGTTTCAAAGCGCTTCCCCACCAGCAACCTTCAAGTGGGTACAAGTCGGGGGAGGAGGGGGGAGGCGGGACAATAACCACACACACAAAAAAAACAAACAGGCTAACTAGAGGTAAACTCATATGTGTTCAGCTTGAGTTCTTAAAGCAATTCAGCGATGACCATTAAAACTAAGTAACTCGTTTTAAAAACCCATGGTTTCTTTGACTGTTTAAAATGTCTCTCTCCCCCCCCCCTGGGGGGGGGGACACACAGAGAGGAGAGCTAGGAGCTGGACTTGTGGGTAAGGAAACCGCAGGTAGGGCAAATTACTGCTTTCTGTGTTGATTGGGGGGTGGGAGGGGTTGCTACGTCTTATGGCTTAAAAAAAATGTTATCCTAGGAACTCAGGAAGCTTGGAAAGTTGCCAAAATGAGTTGCAGTCCCAGGACAAAATGGGGTTTAGGAAACACTATGACGAAAGTTGAATCCAACCCGAAAAGGCTCCTAGGTGAAAAGATGAAGCAAAAGAAGTGCCGGCCGATCATCCAGGGAAGCGGTAATCCCTGCCACACGTCCCCACGGCCCGCAGCGCCGCGACAGTCACAAAAACCGCTCCCCGGAGGACCCAGCAGGGCTCCTCTTCGCGATGCCCACGGCTTCGCGGCGGCGGCGGGCAGTGAGAGGAAGAGTCCGGGACGGTTCACCCTGATCGCACTTCAGGCAGAGGAGGCTCCGGGCGCCCAACTGCCGAGTCGTGCGGGTTAGAGTGAAGCAAGGGGGGGGCAAGAGATGGAGAGTCTGAACACCCCCGGCAGCCCGGAAAAGAGAAAGGAACCAAGTGAGCTCAAGGGACAAGGGGGACCCCCCCAAAAAAAATCGAGCAGGAGCTAGGGGACTCGCAGGGCAAGACAAGAGTTCAACGAAGAGGCTGGAGGAAGACGGGCTATCCTAGGAAGCAGGATCTTAGGGAGACCAGGGAGGATGGCGGTTGGTGGCGGTTAGGAGCTCTTCTTCCCACTGAGTTCGAAACTCCTAGCCAACCCTCCACGCCCGCCGCCCAGATGGGGGAGCGGGCACGCCCCCCTTGGCCTCCCCCCACACTGAAGAGGGCGGCCGCCACCCGGACCCAGCCCAGATCGGCCCCTGTCACCGGCTTGGACACTCACAATTCGCCTCTCCCTGATTTCTCCCAGTTCTTTATCCACTCTGCGGGAACCACCACAGTCGCGGCCGCCATCTTCGTTCTCACTAGTAACAGAGGCCCGGATGTGTAGCACGCGAGCGAAGGGTCAAAGGGGAGCACCGCCCACGGGGAATGCCGGGAGCTGAGAGTTCGGTTTGCGAATTCCCGCCCCACCTTCGTCCTAACCTCGCAGAAGCCGGACAGCTGGCCGCCAAGCTGGCCGCCAACGGTGTGGCCGCGAGCGCTGGTCGCGGCGCAGCCCGTCACGAAGTACCCGGGCCCGCGGCGACCTCCGCCGCCCTCGGTTCCCTGTAGAGCGGGGCAGAAGGCAGCCCCAGTCTGACTGGCCGCCCGATTGTTCCGGAACCTCTATAGCCGCAGAGTCATTCAAATGCAACCGTACCTTAATCTGTTTGAAATCTCCAATGTCTGCCATTTATTGGTTAATGGAAAACGAGAAACCATGCCTCCCCTTGATGAGCTCACAGGTTTTGTTAAAGACCGACACATAAGCAGATAACTTGCACTCTGCTAAGGTCTGAAATAAAAGAAACGAGTCGGGAAGGGGGTGGCCTTTCACTGAGTGCCAGGCGTTATGCGAATTGAGGGAAATCAGTCAGCTCTGGCAAACACAAGGAGCAATGTGTTCTGAAAGCCTACTGTGCCGCTCTCTGTTGTAAGCGTTGGGAAAACTTCAGAGATGCCACCTTGACGCAAACCTCAATGTTTACTTAGTTTCAACGTATACACTCACGTGATACTTATTATTTCAATGGGCGAAAAGAAGCATTGGAGTGGAAGGACATGGCGAGCGATATTGTAACTATGTAAAATGAAAATCAGCTTCATTTTGAGACAGTGAACAGCATGTGCCTCTTGATGAGGTGCTGAGAAAAACACAAATCTGCTCTGAAGTAATCGTGCCAAAACTGTCCGTAACTTAAATCTGATCCTCAGGAAACATCAGACAGACTCAAACTGAGGAACCAGTTACAAAATAATTTGCATGTACTTTTTCAAAGGCCGTGGTCACGAAAGACAAAGCATGATGGAGGAACTCTTGCAGGGGAATGGAAACGAGAGAACCCCTGAGGGCCAGCCCAGAAAAACAAACATTTAATGGTCCAAATTTGAATATCTTTAAACTAGGTCATGGAGTCAATCCTAAGAATGTTTCACTTTCTGTTGTCCTTAACTCAGTATACTGTGGTTGTATGGCCAGAGAGTTAAGGTCAGCAGTTCAAACCTACCAGGTGTTTAAGGAGAAAAACAAGGCTGTCTGCTCCCGTAAATACCTCGAATAAGGTTGGTGTGAATCAGAACTGACAGTGGCACTGGGTTTGGGGTTTACTATGATTATGTAAGAGGAGCCGTGGTGGTTACGGGTGAGCTGCTAACTGCAGGGATGGCAGTTATAAACCACCAGCTGCTCTGCAGGTGACAGATGGGGCTTTCTACCTCCACCTTTATGTCCAGATTTATAAAATAAAATATTTTAATACAGGTATAGATATTCTTCCTACCAAGCCCACTGCCATCCAGTCAATTCTGACTTATAGTGAGACCCTATATAGAGATTCTAAGGATGTAACTATTTACAGGAACAGATAGCCTCATTCCCACAGAGTAGCTGGTGGATTTAAAGTACCAACTTAGTGGTTAGCAGCCCACCACTTACCTGACAGCACCACCAGAGCTCCAATATGTTATTCAAACGCAAACTCACTGCCTTCGAGTCAATTTCATGTACGTTATTAGTGGGCTTCAAATCACCCCAACTCGTGGCAACGTTAACTAGAAACCTTGTCTGGTCCTGTACCATCTTCATGGTCATTAAAACGAATGATCTTGACTCTGCCGGGACTATATTTTATGATACATAGGGTTTTCATTAGCTGGTTTGGGAAGCAAATTACCAGGCCTTTTTTCTAGCCTTTTTGCTGAGAACTCTGTTGAAACTTGTCCATGATGGATGACTCTGTGGCATTTGAAGTATCGGTGACCTAGCTTCCAACGTCATAACAACATGCAAATCACCACAGAACAAAAACTGAGAAGCAGGGGGTGGATAGGTATGCAGCTGTCTCTAAGTACCTGTGAGAGATTGGTTCCAGAACCCATACCATACCAAAATCCACTAAAATGGCATAGAATTTGCATCCAACCTATGTACATCCTCCCTTATACTTCAAATCATGTCTAGATTACCGGTACTTCTAATACTAAACATAATGTAGATGCTATGTAAATAGCACTTTAAGTTCTCTCTTAGCCTATAAGGAATTGCTTTGACCATTTAATTACTCCACAGCCAAGTATATTTTCACTTCATGATTGGTTGAATCTTTGAATGCAGAATCCATGGATAAGGAGTGCCTTTTATTATTGAATTTTTAGATATCTGATTATATAGAATTTGTAAATATTTTACTATCTAAACCATACTGTGTAAATTACCATTTGATATAAATTATAATGAGTTAGATCCTAGTCAATTTCTAAAATATAAAACCTAAATGTTTAATATTAAAATCTATATATGATTTATTTAAAATGAATATACATGTATTCCATAAGTTTATATTATTCTTTCTAAATAAAAAGCAAATATATGTATACATATATATATGTATATTTGGCAGAAAATATATGAAATATAAACACACCAAAGACAAAATTTAACCACACATATATTACTGTATGTTCTTTAGAATTATAATCTCCCACTGCTGATGAGTTAGCTGCAGCCCTATAGGACTCTACAGGACAGAATAGAACTGCTCAGTAGGATTTCTGAGACTATAAACCTTTACAGAAGTAGGCTGCCTCATCTTTCTTCCCTGGAGTGGCTGGTGTGTTCAAACCACGGACCTTTATGTTGGCATCTCAATGTTTAACCTAATGCACCAGCAGGACTCCATTTACTTTAGAACTAGTATGAGTATCTTCTAAAATTGGCAAGAATTTTCCAACTGGCCACGTTCATTTGCACTAAAAAATCTAGGAGTTATTTAGGATGACTTCTAAGAAAATGTTATATTGCTTTATGATATTTTTCACCAGTTACAGCTCATCTCCACCATTCATCTGTCATTTCGTGGTAGCTTGTATGTTGCTGTGATAGTGCAAAGTGTATGCCACCAGCATTTCACAGCATTCCTCATGGTGGACAGTTCTCAGAGGAGCTCCAGACCAAGTCAGATGAGGAAGAAAGAAGAGACGGTCCACTTCTGCAGAATTAGCCATTGTCAGACATAGTGCCAGAAAATGAGTCCCTAAGGTTAGAAGACACTCAAAATACGATTGGGGAAGAGCTGTCTCCAGAAAGTAGCCACAACCATATCTATCAACTTAATAACCTAGTGACCTTCTATAGGGTTTCCAAGACTGTAAATCTTCATTTTTGATAACTCACAATTCTCTTAAATTAATACTTTGTACCCGTCCAGTGGATGTTCTCAGTTTTTCGCCTTATTTTGAGCTATGCCACATCAGCAAATGATGGACCATATTATTAAGGTCTACGCTACATTCAGAAGCCCTGTTGGTCTGTGATTGGTACCCTATTGGGTTGCTAATATCAAGGTTGTTAGTTCAAACCCACTAGCCACTCCTTGGGAGACATGTGAGGCAATCATTCAAACAGAGCAAGGGGGTTGTGAAAGGTTTAAGTCAGCAAAGGTGTGTGTCGGGTTTGTGTCCTTTGCTCACCAGGCATACTCAAATTGAGGAAATAATCTGAGATGCTGGACCATATGAAGAATAAAGACGAATGCATCAAGATTGGAGGAAGACTCATTAGCAACCTGCCATATGCAGATGGGAGCACTGGTGGAATAGTAGGTTAAGCATAGGGCTTATAACCACAAGGTCAGCACTTCAAACCCACTAAGAGCTCCACGGGACACGGATGAGGCTTTTTGCTGCTGTAAAGATTTATAGGGCTATCTATATAAGATGGGCAAGATAAACAATTCTGAGGAGAAAACAACAGAAATGACAGTTATGGGGGGACAGGTGAGAGAGGGAAGTGGGGGAAAGGGGGGGGGAGGCAACAAACCCAGGGAGAAGGGAACAACAAAAGATGTGAAATACATGGCAACGTTCCTCTGCAACCTCACTACGTTGCCTTCTTTGGAAATAGAGCCTTTGCAAGTGTCACTAGTCAAGACAAAATCACACTGCATTAAGGTAGGCCCTAAATTCAATAGGACTAGTGTCCTTAGAGAGGAGGCATAGTGGGTTATGCGTGGAGCTGGTAACTACAAGGTTAGCAGTTTGGAACTCCACAGACAATTCTACCCTGTCCTATAGTGTTGCTATGAGTCAAAATCACCTCGAGGGCAGTGAGTGTCCTTATACAATGAGGAAAACAGACAGCAAAACAAAAAGGCACATTCAGGAGCGAAAGCCATGTGAAAATGGAGACAGAGGTTGGAGTTTGCCGCCAAAGGTCAAGAAATACCAACAATTGCTGGCAACCACCAAAAGCTAGGAAGAGGTAAGGAAGGGTTCCTCCACAAATTTCATAGAGAGGATGGCCCTTCTAACACCTTGATTTCAATTTTAGAGCCTCCCAAACTGAGAGAACATAGTTCTTTTATTCTAAGCTACTCAGTCTGGGGTAATTTGTTATGACAACCCCAGAAAGCTACTTTACCACTTGGTCAGTGAAAACCTGCCTTCCAGTGTATGTAGAACACAAATATCTTCAGCCTCTGGCTCATTCCAACAGACCCATGCATATACTTCTCCCCTTAGTCTCCTTATCTTGTACACTGTAGGCTCCTCAACAACCAGCCAACTCACTGACCTATGTCAGTGAATCGATACAGAGCCGAAGGTCAGGCCATTTCTCCTTCCAGCAGAGTACACAATCAGATGCACTGCTTGGGAAGGCTTTCCTTCACTGTTATCTTTAGGATCCATCTTGAGTGGGTCTGCCATCCACTTCTACCTGGTGTTAGCCTACCATGTAGACCAGGCACTAGATCTGCATTGACTTGCTCTGGTCAACGGTCAAAGAGAACACTCCTGGAGTCCATATATGCGGGCTGATG